TTAATTACAAAGCCTCTAATTAATTAGATTAATTTTTTTAATCGAGTCCCGGCCCTAATTTATTTTATTTTAAAAAAAAGTTTTCGGTCTGTTTCCGGTATTTGTTAATGACGATGTGCTGTGAGATGTGAGACTGAAATTGCACAGGGGAAAATAACGTAGGCTATCTTTAGATGCGGATTTTGTTAAACTAATATGTTTGCGCTGTGGACCAACACTATACTGTACATTGACGGGGAAGGGGGTAGCAATAAAGATAACACCATTAAACAGTTACACAACATAACAGAAATAATATCGATAGCAGCGTCCCTAGCAACCACCTTGGTAACAATGAAAACGTCGCGATTTCCTGAAGTAATCTTCGTAATAACTAGCAAACTAAAGATCATGGACATCCACTGCACACATAATATGAAATAACAACTCATATTTCTCGCATCAAATGACTTCAAAACGCATTTTAATGGCCAAACTAACTTTAAAATTGGCATTCTCCACCGAGAATAAAACGAAGTTCGGCCATGTTTTCTTTTTCTGCAGGGAGAAATTTGAAGATCACGTGACATAGACGCCAGCCATTGGAATGAATAGTGAAAAAAACGGGGTTTGTCAAACAGAGCACATGGTGTAGTCCAAACGATAGCTGGGGATTCTGTCTTCTGCCATCCTTTACTCAGAAAAAACATTTGTTTCTCCGAATCGAAGGGGAAAAATACAAAAGCATTGCACACAATTTAAACCAATCAATGTTGTGTAATTAACAAGGATAATCTGGTGTTTTTTAGTCGATGAGTAGTGCAGATATCACTGTAAAATCAATCGACAGTAAGAGGAATACTTACTTCCGGGTGTACAATTCTCCGTTATCCAATGGGAATGGACGCTCACATTGCCTTTAAGGGCAGCCGACACAAACGAATGCCGTGCTTCCATGAGCGTCAAATCCCGCCGCAGATGGGAATACATTGCAATCAGTTGAAAGCTATTTGCGTCCCTTTATGACGCTGAAGGAGCCTAGGAGCGTCACAACTGGACGCCACGGACACTGACCAAACGTCGCTCCTGGACGCTTAGGGAGTGAGAGTGTGTTGTCATAACTGTTACGATGTGTGTAGGAAGCAGGACCCAAATGCAGATTCAAGTGACAAAAATAACTCCTTTATTTCAAGGCTAAACGATTTAACAAAGACTGAACAGAACACTCACCGCAGACCAAGTCATTACACAAGACGAACCGACAAAGACAGACAGAAAAACCAGAACTTAAATACACACAAGACTAATCATACAAACAAGAGGAGAAAACACAGGAACACCAGGTGAACACAATCGGGTAAATTAGACACACCAGGGAAACTAACGACAGGGAACCACAGACAGATCTAAACCAGACAAAACACAACGCAGACAGAGAACCAAAGACAGATCTAGACAAGACAAAACACAACACAGACAGATCGTGACAATAACACACAAGGGGACGGGTAATAATCAGAAAAGCATGACATAGGACCTTTAAATGCAATTTTCTTGTAATGGTGGCACTAATTAGCATAATAGCTTGCTACAGACACATGTGATCACTTTAAGAATAGTTTTATTGTGTTCCTCGACAATCAAAACATGGATCTGAATACCTTATTTGTTCAGTTATCTGCAATAATGGCTGAGATATAGTGAAAGGTGTAAAAAGAGTGAAAGTTTTTCCAATCTAGAAAAGCTGATTAAAAGTATATTTCAGGGGGGTGCATGATACCCCCTTCTACCCACTAGATTAACTATTATCATTCAGTCTTCCCACCAGAGTTGGGTGTAATATAATAATATTACTTTTGTCGGTAACGGAGTAGTGTAACGCGCTACTTTTATAATTCAGTAATCAGTAAGTTACTAACATTGCCCCGACACGCGTTACTTCGTTACTTACTAAAATCAGTCATCAAACCTCAACAAACACCTGCAAAGAACACATGCTAAGGTGAAGCTAACGCACAGCTATTTGTTGTTTGTTTATATCACGTAGTCTGTTCTTCTTCTCTGTTTTCCGGTTGTTGCCTGTTTTGAATGACGAATACACACTACCGCCGCCTGCTGGTAAGGAGAGTTATTGCCACTCACGCATGCGCAGTTCGTACATGCTCGGCTGAAGTCTTTGCGGTGTCTGGTTCCAGTGCAACACATGGCCAACACGCAGGAGAACACGCCGACGCAACAGCGTGAGCAGAGATAGACTGCGCAAAAAATACAGATATGAGGAGACAGAGGACAGCCACGGTCAGATAGGAAAACATTCAGGATCTGGATCAGTCTTATGCGACAATGGAAACTGAACTAAAGAGAACATTTGAAACTTTAGCAGTCTGCGTGATCTGCCTGCAGGGAGGGGCGGGCCGGCCCTGCGAGTAAAGTAGCGAGTAAAGTAACGAGTAAAGTAACGAGTTACTTTATGTAGAGAGTAACGAAGTAGTGTAATATATTACCTTTTTAAAAAGTAATATGTAATATATTACTTTTTTTTAGTAACGACCCCATCTCTGCTTCCCACCCTTTCCATATTTTCCGGATGCAACAAAGAGCTCTGATAAACTCAAACAAAGTGATCATCAAGCTCATACACATCATAGAGCCTTAAATTGCTCAACATATTCCCTCAGGAGTTGGCGTAACATGAAGAACAGCGAAAAGGTGATTTCATATTGCACTTATCTCAACTCTAAATACATTGAGAGCTGGCTTTGATGACAATGTTGTATTTATAGCTTTATTCACTGCCCACAACCTAAAGCCACTTGTTGATCATGTTCAAGGACACTTATCCATCCATCTCAACATGTCATTTATTTGAGTGCCTTTCCTGTCCTAAACTATAACAACATGAAAACAGTTTTTCAGTGAAATACATGCAGTCAGATCAATGTATTTTGTCACTGGCATCATTTGCAAATCATCATACCTGAGTTAAGCATGGAAGTCAATGATTTACCTTCGACAACAAAAGCCTCTTAGTCACTTTTTCTGAGCATATAACCACATGGTCTTCATCCGTCTTGATGATGATGAAGACTATCTTGAGTTTATTTTATCATAAACATTATTGGAGAGCATATTTTGAAAAATAATGTCTTCTTGTTGAACAGAGTGAGCTTGAGTTTAATTGATCTAAAGACATGACAAAACTGAGGAGGAAGAAGGAAACTTTCCCTTTGTGAAACTAACTATAATGTCCAGTCATATCCGTCCATCACATATTCACATGGTTTGGACGTTCAAACTCGTCCAAACTATCAAAAGGAAGTATTCATCCTGGTGTTATTGATATATTGTTACTGTTGTGCAAAGATCCTTGTGAAAATCCATGAGAATCTCCAAACCGGTTTTTCTGCTGTGCTGTTTGACTTCCGTGGCAATGAAATGCCATTCAAACAAGTCATCACTAGTTACCGCCAAGACTATTACATCTCTATTTAGAGGCCATTGATATGATTACAAATAGGAATTTTTGAGAAATGTTTTGTATTAATAGAGGGATTTATAGTTGGGAGTTTGCAACACAAATCAAATGTTTGGGGGATTTATTGTATACAGTAGCTTGTGGCCTTCTTTCCTTTATTCATTGAATGGTTCATAGCAGAGCAAGAAGATGTACTCAGATCTTGTACTAAAGTAAAAGTAAAAATACCATAGTAATACTCTGTTACAAGTAATTATAAATGTTTTTCACAGTTCCATTTATTAAATGTGAGGATTTTCTGCTCAAATATTTAAATATTGAATTGCTTTTTTCTATAATACACTAAGAAAGTGGATCACATCACTCCTGTTCTGAAGTCTTTACACTGGCTTCCTGTGTGTCAAAGAATAGATTTCAAAATACTGCTACTGGTTTATAAAGCACTGAATGGTTTAGGCCCAAAATACATTTCTGACCTCCTGCTAAATTATGAACCATCCAGATCTCTCAGGTCTTCAGGGACTGGTCAGCTTTCTGTCCCCAGAGTCAGAACTAAACACGGTAAAGCAGCGTTCAGTTATTATGCTCCAAATATCTGGAACAAACTCCCAGAAACCTGCAGGTCCGCTGCAACTCGACTACTTTTAAATCCAGGCTGAAGACTTTTCTTTTTGTCGCTGCTTTTAATTGAACTATTCATATCTTAGACTGCACTGTAACTTTTATCCATGTACTTTTTCTTTTAATGTTTATTTTATTAGCTTTTCTTTTTAATGACTGATTTGAAATGCCATTTTGTCTTTAATTTTTTCTAAAGCACTTTGAATCGCCTTGTGTTGAAAGGTGCTATATAAATAAACTTGCCTTGCCTATAATGAGTACTTTGAATCAATCAAAGTTTATTTATAGAGCCCAATATCACACATGTAACATTTGTCTCAGTGGACTTTACAGTTTGTACAGAATATGAATACGACACCCTCCGTCCTTGGACCCTCACATCGGACAAGGGACAAACTCCAAAGAAACCCCCCAGTTAATGTGAAAAAATTGAAGAAACCTCAAGGGGAGCAACAGAGGAGGAATCCCTAGAATTGTAGTGGAGTAGAAGTACAAAGTAGCAACAAATGTAAATACTCAAGTTAATAACTAGTATCTCAAAATGGTAAAGTAGTGTATTTGTACTTGAGTAAGTGTTCTTGGTTACTTTACACCACTGTTTTAAAGGATCTATGGTAGTGATGACATGTAAGCGGGAGGCAGAAGTGTTGCCCACATTAGTTTGGTCGGTGTGATGCACAGGGAAACCACGCTGAAGAAGAAAGTACTTCTTCATTTGAAAACTGGTTTCGTCAGAAAGTGGTATTGATTAAGGGAAGTTCAATGGACTAAATATAAACACATAGAAAAAATACAGACGCAAGAAGCGCCTGGTAACCCCCCCTCGGGTTGATAAGAGATACTGACACATGACGGTGAATTCCCATGAAGCTGCGGTCTTTCCCCCGGCTGCTCCTCCACTATAAATGTTGGAGCAGATGGAGAGTGATCACACAGCAGAGAGAAGAAGCTCAACTAAGACTTTCACACACTAATACCTAGAGAACACACACCTTCAGGATGGCTGCTCCTCGTCTCGCTCTGTGTGTGTGTGTGCTGATGCTGGCCGTCTTCACTCTGACTGAAGGTAAGAGAGGCTCCCACATAACTCATTCCACCAGTGAAGGAAAATAATCTTATTTTAAATGTTTATGATTTTGGTTTGATAGCAATGTTGTGGAAATAATTATCATCATCAATTATCATGCCAATTTGTAACATACAGGACAAACCTCGATGTCTGTTTACCTTCTTTAAGGACACAGGCGGCTTAGCCAATAATGTTATTGTTCCCATTCTGTGACCGGTCAATACTGGGATACAGATGGTCTGTGTTGTGGGTACACTGGGACACTTCCTTCTCTGTATTTGTGGACTCCAAGGTAAAATCTTCGAGGTCATAAGTGTCCGAGGCAAGTAGCTCTGTGTTCCCACACTGTTTAGGCTATCTCCTCAAATATGTTGTTTACTCTCTGCGAAACCAGTTAGATGGGCTGGCAAGAGAGAGGCTCTCCAGAATTGACGTGGCAACTCTACCGTGAAGTCAGAACCTCTGACTCTTGGACTTGTGATGTGAATCCTCCGGCCGTTAACTCCAAATAAACCATCATGTGTTTGACATCAAAGCTACTGCTCTTCCCGTGTCTCCTTCCTGAGTCGGTGACTCCCACTGCATAGCTACGCAGAAGTTTCCATTACAAGCAATATATATAAATCATTCAGTCTGATCAGTTAAAGTTGTTTTTGTTCATTTCTAACATTTTATTTTATTATTTTTACAATAAGGCACATTAAGTGAGCCATTCCTCTTACAAAATAAATAATGAAATAATTAAATTGCACAGCTCTCCCACTTTAAATGACCATAATCTGCACATATTTTATTTGTCAAAGGAATGTGTCATTTACTTGCATTTACTTTTTGGTATATTTGTTGTATATTTATACCTTTTTTAAACATTTCATTCTTTTAATTTTAAATAATTGTCTTGTAGTTCTGTATTTGCTCTTTTGTGTCCAACTGAATTCCTTTTACTGTGTAAATGTATGCAGAGTATACAACAAAGAATATTATGTGTAAACCTACTACTACGACCTTTTAGGTCATATTTCTTGTCGCTGATTTCTGAGTGGCCTGAAAATATTTATTATCCAATGTCAAAGATTGAGAAACTGAGATTTAAAGGCTCCAGCATCAAAACCACTAAGGACTTGTTGAAGCTAAACCTACATTTATTAAAATGTGTATTTCCATTATAACAGCTCACTTTATTAAATGGAAAGCCAGAGTAACACAAGAGTTTCCCCATTTGACAATGGAACAACTGAGCAATGTCACAACCTGTTAAACAAAAGGCAGTATCAGATTGAGATTTAGGAAGGAAATAAAAGCCAACATAAAAAAGGAACTGAATCTGACTGTGTGTTTGTGTGTAGGTTTGCGTGGGGCTGGCCCGAGGAGATGCTGCTTTAAGTTCAATGAGAGAGAGGTTCCTAGAGGCCGAGTGATCAGCTACGTCAGGACGAGCCAGCGCTGCTCCAACCCTGCCGCCCTGTAAGTACAATACTGCACCACAATACTGCACCAACACAGCACCTCAGGTCAAGTCAGTCCAGTTTTAGTGTAGATACTTACTTTACCATTAACCTAAATGAAGCTTGGGTTAATAAATACTTTATTTATGCAGCCAAACGTTGTTATATTTTAATTTCTTAATATTTGTTGGTATTTGTTTTAGACACAGAATTTGTTTTAGTAACTTAGTTTCAATTTATTTGTTTCACTACTGAAAAAACCCATTCCTGGTATCTTAGGCCCAGGTTACAGCGCAGTATTGGCTGCAACACTATCACAGACTGCATTATCATAGATGTATTCGTTTGGAGGGGGGCCGCGGGGGGTCCAAGCACAGTGTTACAGGGGTGCTGGACCCTGTTGGCCCCACTAAAACCATCACTGAGGGTCTCTGTGTGTGTGTGCAGGTTAAGGACAGTGGCAGGTCCACGTCAGCTGTGTGTCCGTCCTTCAGCCCCCTGGGTGAAGAATCTCATCAGCTACCTGGACACCAAAGCCTTCCCAGGAAAGACAACCAACCTGTAACCGTGGCGACATCACATCCACTATCAAAGCCTGTGATCTGATGCTGCATCTCAAACTATACCTGTCAAAGCTGCATCTACTACATATGTGTTACCATATGTAAGGTTTGCAGTACCTCTTGTTAGGTACTAAATATTGTTATTTTTGTAACATGGACCATTTGCTGGAATGAGACAAATGTACAATCCATTTTGTATATTTCTGATTTTTAATTGAATGTATGTGGAACTATTTGTATATTTTTGCTTGATACAACAACACCCACATAACCGTCAACACTGTGAACTACTGATGCATTGTTATTGGAACTGACTTACCAAAACGTTCTTCACTGTAAAAATGCAATGTCCCGCACTGCTTAAGGTATAAGCTACAGTATGTGTGATGCCACTGTTTCTGCAAGGAACCATTGTGACCTTTTCTACTTGTTTTTGATATATAGTAAAGTGATGATGTTTTGTTCCTATTTATAGTCATATTTTGAATACCTCTACAGATAAGTACGGAATTTGGTTACAAATAATTTATTTCTGTATTCTACTGATTTGATTATATTGAATTACAGCATGATAACATTTAATGATTTGTCTTGGTTATTTTATTTCTGCTTACCATGGATTCAGTTTCAACGTACACTTACACATTAAAAGTCTCTGAACTGCCTTTTTCTAAACTAGAGTTTGGAACCAAACACGCTTCAGAGAAGTTCCTTTTCAAGGCCAAGGTGTTTTCATTAACTGTTGAGCATTTCTCTCACAGAACTGTGTAGTCAGCTGCAAATATGGTTTGACCCCAAACAAAATAATTGCAACAAAAGGTTTCTCAATAGTTTATTGTAGTATTAGGTGTACTTAATAACATACTAAAAGTCTACCAAAAGCTGACCACTAAGGTCTAATTTTCAAGATGGTGTCCAAAATGGCCGAAAATTCCTTAAAGGTCCCATGTCATGCTTTTCCGGTTATTACCCGTCCCCTTGTGTGTTATGAAGGTTTTTGTACTTGTCTATGGTTCCGAGAGTGTAAGCTCGAGCAACGCCATTAGAAACCGTGATTTTCAAGCTGTACACAAGCCAGAAAGAAATGGCATCAGCATTGTCGTGATCATCTATCGTAAACTGGATATGCTCCTTGACTCCTGGACTCCTTGATGTAGCCGGTTCAGGAGTTTCTCTGAGCGATAATTTGTGTTCTCGTACCCATTCAATTTCAGCTCTTCCACATACAGCAAACTGTAGGACCTCATTTTGCGGGACTACATGAGTTCCAATGTGTTCCAGTACTGAAACAAATGCCTTTTCATGGGAGGCTGAAATGAAAGCTTGGTTAGTATCCTTAGCTCCTGCTTTAAGAATACTGCTGCGCTCGTAGTTGGTGAATGCTGTGCGGAAAGATTTAAAGCACGACTGATGGTGTTTAGCCTCAAAAGCAAAGAGGTCTTTGTCCTTCATTTGTCTTTGAAGTCTAACTAGACCCATTTTCTCAGTCCGTGATTCGATTTGCTCCCATACATTTTCTTTGTTCTTATAAGATGGGAAGTATTCAGGTCTCTCAGTTTTACGATGACCATCTTTGATCTCAACTTTGTCGCAAAAAATGCCATTGCAGGTGTACAGCTAGCTAGCTACCTAGCGCAGGGTTGACAACTTTGGGTACCTGGCTGGAGTGAGATTTTGATATCATGGGTTTGATTACACATATGCGCACAAAATGACTGCTATCGTGTCAGCAGCGGGACCTTAGCATATATACAGGATATACAAATACACAATATTGGACACAGACTATAAAGGACACACAGTTTCATTCACTATTGAAAGTCAAACACATGTTTGTTTCCACTGTTTTATTGTGTGCCTGTCGCGATAAGCAATTCATTGACTTATCGTACGATAAATAAAAATGAACTCGATAAATTGCCATTTACATGAGGATGTGACTAGCAGTTTGAAAGGATGTACTTGAATTATTATATTATCATTATGTCAGTGGTCTAAAATGGTCATACAACGGTGCCGAAAATAATTTCCGGGAAAATGTATCCAACAAAATTAATTATCGTGAGAAACACACACACACAAACAAATCTACAGACTTACTCCAAACTGCCAAATATATTAATTAACACACTCTCACTCTCATATACTCTTTGACTCTATTTTGGCCTAGAACAATAAGCAGCAGACTTTTACTTTTTTATAATTTCTACTGGACCTTAGATCTGCGCATGCGCAATACGGGTCGGCAGTTGCGGCTCCAGAGTATTTTTGTTGGGTAATCTATGGTAGGGCTAACCCAGCGCCATATAGTTAGAAGAGTTACGACAACGGAAGTCCGAAAACGGTTATCGTCACGTGGTTCATGTAGAAGAGGATCGTTCCCCGGAAGTTCATGGCGGGCAATGTGAATGCATTGATAACAGGAGATAGAACTACGATTTTTGGTAATTATTAGTGAATAAAGGTTTTGATTTGCAATATTTATACAACAAATCGATATGTGTATGTATTTACATCAATATGTTTTAAAAAATAAAATAGAATTTGCTAATATTAAGTGATAATATTAGGATTAGTGTGAACAACTAGTTTACATGTTAGGCTAACAGTGCCTTGGTTAAAGAGCCTGTTGCTGTTTATTTATAGCTTTGAATTCTTTAAAACCAATATTATCTTCTTAAACTTGTATGGTAGTCAGGAGCATCACTTTCTAATGTTTATTGATATATTTAGAGGGAGGGGATCTAAAGTAATGCTTTAAAATTCAGATTAGATTAATGTCTACCATTTTCTTAAATTCATGGTAGTTTCAGTAATCCCATGGTAATTGAGGACACAAGTTATCTAAATGACTAATGTCATCTTTATGGCTTTCAGAAAGGACAGGAGACCGACAGGTGACTATCAAAGGACTAGCAGGATGATGATGATGATGATGATGATGATGATGATGATGATGATGATAAATGTGTTGTTTTAGGAACATCCATTGCAAATACATGGAATTCAATAAACATTGAATAGCATGCATGCAGTTTGTCTGTGCCTTTTCCTCCGTGTTGTCCTGGTTTGCTGTGCTGCCTCCTAGTCGCCACCATGGTTTGCTGTGCTGCCTGGGGATGCTCAAATCGCTCAGAGAAAGGAGTACGAATGTACGGCTTCCCCACTGACACAGAGCGGAGGAAAACATGTCTGGCTCAAGTCAGCAGGAGCAATTTCACGACCAACAGCAACAAAATATGTGATGTAATTATTAGGGCCGGGACTCGATTAAAAAAATTAATCTAATTAATTAGAGGCTTTGTAATTAATTAATCGAAATTAATCGCATTTTTAATCGCATATAAATATTTGACCTGAGAACAGTGAGAAGCAATTTTTTTCACATGGATTTTAGTATACCATTAGGCGCATTCACACCGCAGTACTTTTCCCACAAAGGTTCATGAGAACTTAGTTCATGAGAACAAATGAAGCCGCTGACGTCACTTCTTCTTCTTCTGCTTTGGGTTTACTGGCAGGCCGCAAACCACTTCACGGCGTATACTGCCGCCCAAAATCCCCGGAGTTGGGGACTGGCTTCAGTAGAAGCTGCTGGGAGTCCCAGCAGCTTCTACTGAAGCCTTCCGAGTAAATCGCCAGAACGCCGACACCTCCTCATCTCCACCGCTCCCATGTTTTATTTTGTGTTGCCATAAGTTAGTCTCTCTGCGTTTCTGCGCTGGGCTAATGCTAATGCTAATAATGCTAATGCGAGGATAATAAAATGGCGGCTTCACCAAACTTTTTGGGAGTTTTACGGGGCGTGGTTTGCAATCCGCCCAGCCAATCAGAAATATAGCTCTTTTCTCACAAGAGAGCCGTACGAAAGTCCCTGCTCTCTAGCAGCTCTCTGCTCTCTAGCAGGGACTTTCGTGGGGGTAAAAAGGTTCTCATGAACTAATTTTAGTACCGGCTCTTTTTGGTGTGAACCATAGACTGTATGGTGTGAACGCGATAAAAGAGGCTAACGTCCACGCTAGCTTCCACGCTAGCTGCTATATGTTTTGCATTGAGGTGATACTTGAGGCTTGATGTGCTGCGGTGATATGTGAATTCCTTTTTGCATAATTTGCACACAACCGTGCTCTTATCAACGCTTCCATCCGTCCGTTTTTTAAAACAACATTTCCCACTGTTGTTCACTGTGGTTTGTTGTTGTCTGAAGTCATGAACGTTAGTTGGTGCTCCAGTATGATCGGTACGCCTGAAACTCATCCAGTGAGAAACGTTCCGCGGTGCAAAAATAAGTGCGATTAAAATGCGTTAAGTTTTTTAACGCGTTAATTTTTGTGTAATTAATTAATCTTAATTAACGCGTTAAAGTCCCGGCCCTAGTAATTATATACAAACACTGCATTTGCACTTTTTCACAAAACGAAAACCACACCATTGGGAAAGCTTAATGTTTTGTTTAATACAAAAAAACAGGGAAAGGCTTGAAAAACACTGAGAGTTGAGACTCAGGGTGCAGGGTGAGGGTCTCAGTGCAGGTATTCAGGCTCCATTGAATCCCCCTCTGGTTCTTGTGCTGAAAGAGGGAGTAACAGACAGGAGAAAGGGTTATACACAGGGCTGCACATAACTGGTGCACATGCGCACCTCCGCCAAAAAAAGAGCACCGGGTCATTTGAAAAAAGGCGCATTTGCGTACCAAAATTGAGAGAGGGAGAGAGAGAAGAGAGGAGAGAGGAGAGAGGAGAGAAAGATATTTGCGAGTTGCATATGAACTCAGGGTCGGCCCGTAGCACTGGCGTTATAGATGTTCGCCTAGGGCGCCAGATCTGGGGAGTCGCTGCGCTGGCAGTTCTGGGAGGGAAAAAAACATTTTTGACCGTTGGGGCTCATCCTAATTTTCGGCCTTGATGTAACAATATTCATAATTAAGTAAATGTAACACCCTTTTCACCTCGGTTACACGTTTCATTTGCCCTGTACGATGGGCGCTGTAAGTGATGAAAATGGGGGATGTTGGCTTATCAGGCGCCCGCCGCTCACAGCCAAAATGCGAATGAGCGAGGGAGAGAGAGAAGGGCGCACCGCCCGGTGTTGTTATTAGAATCTGGTGCTAGCTGCTCTAAAGGATATAAGAAGAAGATGTTTCTACAATAATGTGGAGGGAGAGTCCTCTCCAGTCAGACTGAGTGGCTGATAACTACAGCTCAGTGAGGTAAAGGACTCTGAGTGTTTAGATAGTTCCCTTTAGTCTAAGTTCAAACAGTTTGGTCACATTTTATGTAAACACATATTTCCAAGGCACTCCTTTATAATTATTGGGATAAACAGGTTTGAAATCATTCCAATGCATACTATAGGACAGTAACCAAACATATCCTTTAAAACTGGAGATATAAAAAAAAAAAAAATGCATAAATAAATATTACGGTAAAATAAGATATGAATGAACAACACAAATAAAATAAGTTACATTAATTTGTTATTGGCTATGTTCACATACTTATTTGATTACATCCACTTGTCTAAGATGACAACAGAGACTTTCGACCCAAAACCAGCTGTTGACTTGTGGATGCAAGCAGCTAATCACAGACTCAACCAGAGAGGAAGTAGTAGGCCTACATCATCAGCTACCATGTCTGACAGAGAGGAAGACAGTGAGGAGAACAGTCAGGAGGGTAGTGATGACAGCTTGTAGGATTACTGGTCGTGCTAATGTTGTCTTGTGTTCACCTCTGCATGTGTGTTCTGTGTTCACCTCTGCATGTGTGTTCTGTGTTCACCTCTGCATGTGTGTTCTGTGTTCACCTCTGCATGTGTGTTCTGTGTTCACCTCTGCATGTGTGTTCAGTGCCGTGTGTCTGGCAAATAAAGTCAAGACCCCCTCAAAAGTTACAGTTTATTTCATTTTAAGGATGAGCACCAAGCAACATCTCCAGGTGCTCCTTTGAGAACCAGGGCAAAAAAGTTATGTGCACCCCTGGTTATACACACTGTCATGGCTTGGCTCTCAGCCACAACAAACGCGCGACAGAAACGAGGGCGTGAATAGAAAAAAATAGTTTATTTGGCTGCTGCTGAAGGACACAAACAGGCGAAAACAAAAGGTCAGCTGGTCGTGACTGCTCTTCACGTTGCGTCCTCCTGCCAGAGAGAGAGCGAGAGCGAGATCCGGCCCGGTCCTTTATCCGGCTAGCTCCAGCCGCCAGGTGTCCTCAATCCCAGCTGATTGACCAAAGGGAAAACCTTAAAGGAACATACACACCCCAGAGATAACAAGGCAGGGGTCGTCACACCCCCCCCCCTTAAAGTCGGTGTCCCTAGGACCACCGGCACACCAACCCTGAAAAAACAAAAAAAACACCAGTAATGAACAACAAAAATACCAGACATACGGCACCCCACTTCCAACAAAACCAACAATTGCAACATACAACCCTCACACTGCCAGCCGCTCCTCCCACACCCAGCCACATCTTTAGCAACACAGGTAAGCAACCTGAGAAGCACACTTTAAAAGGATGGGCAGAGCGAGAACGATTTATTAAACAGTATGACAGACAATACATTACCGTCACGGCCCATGCTTCCTCAGTTGTAGCAGTTAGTTTCACTGGCTTTACTGCAATGCACCGCCACGTGGCCAATGTCGCCACACCTGTAACATTTCACCCTACTGCAACGTCTCTGGATGTGACCAAGCCCACCGCAGGAATAGCACTTCCGGTCGTTGGCATGCCCACAGTCACGAGCCATGTGTCCTTGGTCTCCACACCGATAGCAGGACATTTCCTTGCCTCTTCCTCGATCCCTGTTGCCGCCGCCACGACCACCATCAACGCTGCCGCCACCACGACCACCATCAGCGCCACCGCCGCCACGACCACTTTGACTAGTGGGACAATGCTTGGTCTTCTGTTTTCTAAACATGTTTTTGTCCATAGCACGAGTGATCACACCAGAGGGCGTAACGTCTGCCAACACTGTAGAGCTCTCCTCAGACCTTGACTCAATCGGACCGCCAGTCACTAAAAGCACAGGGGGAACATCAGTCCAGACTCTGCTACCTGCCAAACCGTTGCCCAGGATGAACTGTATCCCCTCGATTGGCAAAGCTGGACATACACCAACAGCCACCTCACCCTTAACAAGACCACAGTCAATATACATCCTATGAACAGGAATAGGAAGAACTTTTAATCCCAGTCCCCTACTCAGAAGGGTGTCACCAGTGTCACTTTCATAAGACAGAGGCAAAACAGAGTCAACAATATAGGAGTCAAAAGCCCCTGTGTCTCGCAAGATTTTGATTGGAACTCTGACATTACTACCTACCAAGCCGTCTCGTATAAATGGAGCATAAGATGCCAAAACCTCAGATCCACCTAAGTGGGATGTAAGCACATCGGCAACACCGCTGCTTTCCACAGGAGCAGCCAACGCAACAGACCCAACAAAATATCTTCCTCCCTCAGATTTTGCTCTAAGCGCAGGACAGTCTGCCTTCCAATGGCCTTGTTCGCGACAGTAGTGGCAAATATCATTATTATCCCCCTCAGATTTGACCAAACCCAAGTTCCTTGGCTCCATCCCAAATGAACCAACCTTTCTACTTCCCTCAAAAACAGCCAGGGCCCCAGAGCGCCCTCCGAACCTGCTCTTATGAAGCAACACAAACTCATCAGCTGCCACAGCAGCTTCAGCCACATAAGTGACCCTGTGTTCTGTTATGTAAGTAGCAATCTTGTCTTGAAGAATATTTTTGAACTGTTCCAAAGTCATGAGCTCACACAAATCGTCAAAAGTAGTGACGTCAAGAGCAGTTAACCAACGCTTAAAATGAACAGACAAATCCCTCGCCATCTCCACATATGTTTGATCTTGTTTTTGCTCAAAGGACCTAAAACGCTGTCGATAGGCCTCTGGCACCAGTTCGTATGCTCTAAGCACCGCCAATTCTATTTTACTATAGCTAGAGCTATCCTCAAGACATAAGGAGGAATATGCTGACTGCGCTCTCCCTGTGAGAACACACTGAAGCATCAGAGCGCAGTCCGCATCAGGCCAATCTCTAGTCCTAGCTACACGTTCAAAAAGCAAAAAAAAAGTGTCAGGATCACTTTCATTAAATTGCGGTAACAAGCGCAAGTTGTTAGCATCGAACCAATGAGGAGACCTGGGCACCTGTTCACCGTGCCACTCACCCAACACCGCACCATCTCTGACCATAGAAAGACGTTGTCCTTCCATATCCAGTTTGGCTCTCTCAGTCTCCTGCCGCATCCGCTCCACTGCAATTTCCTTTTCAAACTCCATCGCATACCTCATTTTGTCATGACCCAGCTGCAACAATATCATCTCCTTCTGCTGCTCAAAGGACAGTGAACTAGCCTGAAAAAGAGGTTTTAACAAAAACCCCTCTTCCTTTGCAGCAAACACTCCTGTCTCACTTAATGTCGACACTATAGAGTCTTTTATGTTGTCTTTCACCCTTCTATCACCGACAATAGACACAGAGAAATGCTCAGCAATTAAGAGCAGCTGCTCTCTTGAGAAAGTGGCAAGAGACTCCTGAGACGGAGCTTCAATAAATGCCTCTACGTCAGCCATCTTAATTTACACCGACCCCTCATCGGAACACAACACCGGACCTTTAAACCGAAAGAAGAGAACAAAAACAAAAACCAACCGGACAGATACCACCACGTTTATTATGCGTCCAAAGTGGAACACTAATTTTTTGATTGGAGTTTCCCCACTAACTCACCATCCCACTGACTAATCTCCTCCCTAGTCTTCATGCAGTTACTTGTGGTGGGTATTTATGCACTGGAGACCGCTAATCCAGCAAAGCGACTAGCAAGCTAGCAACACTACTGAGACCACGGCCATGCTCCCAAGCCAAGGCTTCAACCACTTTCTCCGCAACACTACACACCCTGCTCAACGATCCCAAGGGAACCGCCGCTTAACCTGCCAGGGAAAACTCCGCACCGTTCCGCACTGCTCCACATGCAACGCACCAACAAACCCACACAAGAGAGAAAGGAAAAAAACAAAAACAAACAGCTGACCACGGCTAAGAACAACTAGAAGCAACCACTCTCCCGAAATATAATACCAAACAAATCAAAGCATCACAAAGTAATCAAATCAGTCCCCCAAACAACAATCTGAAATCTAATGTCCTTCCCACAACGAGCCGAAACAAAGAAACCGGCCGCACTGCAAACGCACTCCCAACAAACTTCATACACGCGCACCAACTCCCAACACAAATCTCACCTATCCGTTGCTGTATCACAGATAAAAAGAAGTGGACGAGCCCCCAGCTATCATGGCTTGGCTCTCAGCCACAACAAACGCGCGACAGAAACAAGGGCGTGAATAGAAAAAAAGAGTTTATTTGGCTGCTGCTGAAGGACACAAACAGGCGAAAACAAAAGGTCAGCTGGTCGTGACTGCTCTTCACGTTGCGTCCTCCTGCCAGAGAGAGAGCGAGAGCGAGATCCGGCCCGGTCCTTTATCCGGCTAGCTCCAGCCGCCAGGTGTCCTCAATCCCAGCTGATTAACCAAAGGGAAAACCTTAAAGGAACATACACACCCCAGAGATAACAAGGCAGGGGTCGTCACAACACCTATATAGCACACCTATTGGATGGGAAATTGCCTTGGGGAGATAAGGTGTTTACTTATATAAAACAGTAGTATTAAACTTACCTTGTGTTTTCACTCTCACTTAAGTCCCTCTCCCTTTGCCATCAATCCAAAATCAGCTGAGCTGCAACATTATACAGACAGGTAATAATCAACATAATCACAAGGACACAATATGGCTCTGCTAAAAACACTCACTCTTACACGCACCAAAGTTATATTTATCTAATATTTAACTCCCTCCACCCCCGCATACAATCCCGTTTAGAAGCCCCTCTTCTCTAATTCAACAACGTTGGACCAAATAGACATTAAGAGAACGGAATTTACAATTAAAAGGCTGTTCAACGTGTGTTGCTAACTTGCTTCGGTATCCTAGCTTAATCTGTTATCTGTAAACGTTCCCTAAATCTACTAATTTAGGGATAATCCACTGACATCCTTTAATACACATGTTAATTTGAATCAGATGTACTGATAATATCCGCAATATAAATCTTTAAACTTCTTCTTACCTTTAAAAGTCCGTCACGAACGGTCTATTATGCTGCAACTCTATAGCTCTGCTAGCCTTGGCGCTAACTTCCGGGGAACGATTGAGAGGCTCCATGATCCGCCATTGCTGTAAAAAAAGTGGAACGGAGATGACATAACTCTCAGTCTATATGGCGCTGGGCTAACCCATACAGTGGTGGGGCTCAAGTCAGTATTTGCAATGTAATTACACACTCCCCTTGACAGTGAAATGCCACGCATGAGGGTTAGATTATTTCCCTGTCTCAATCCAAATTGAACTGTATGAAATAAAAAGGCACATTTGTCTTTGCACAGGAAAGGGCGACCTGGAGCCAATCCTGCAATTTCCCCACAAGTGAAAGAGTTAACATGCTGAAAACCCAACCCCTGCAGGGGGGTCTGGGGGAATCCCCCCCAGGAGATTTTTTGAAATACTAACATAAAATACACATTCTGGTACTCTCTTGAGAAAAAAAAATATAAATCTATTACTACCCGACATATTTAAAAAAATGAATGCCATTTTAATTTTGTGTTACTTTGTTCTGAAAGCTGAACCTGCTGCTCCTCAGAGAGAAGAGGGAAGAGGCTGTGTGAATTACTTTATATTGTGGATAAGGGTGGATAGCCCCCATTGTTCTGTGTGTCAAAATGAAAGACAGCCCACACACCTATCAATCATCAAACCGTGGGGTCTTATTTCATTACGTGTTGATTTCTATCAACACGTAATGTTGTATCGATGTATATAGAGATGTACGACAGCAAAATTATTCTCCGTCGGGACTTCCTGCAACAACACCACGCCGTTATCTTGATTCTGATTGGCCAGAAGACATTATCAAAGATGTTCTATTGAGAAGACGATCACTACGTGACAAAAGTTTTCAAAACCGTTTCTAGTCTTCGGTATTCTTGTTTTTGGCGTGAGAATAGTTTGGACAGCGTGAGATTGAGAGTGAAAGCGTGTGTCACACGCCAGATGCGTGAGAGTTGGCGCTACCTAGCTATTAGCTTTATTCAATAAGCTACACCATTAGCTATCCCTCATTCACGTCACTGTTAGTTAGTTAGCTAGCTCATAGTTTACTGCAGTTAGCCTCTGCAGGGCAGAATAACACTAACACATGCTCTAGCATACCTGCCAACCCTACCGATTTGGGCGGTAGTCTACCGCTTTTTACATGTTTCTACCGGCTATCGACTTAGCTGGCTTTCCCTACCGATGTTCAATCTTCCCAAACTATAGCAAATAAAAATGACACTACATAGACACTGGACTCGACTTTTGGCGGACACCGTTTGCAGCGTGTCTGTGATCGCATCATACAAACAGTCCTCTGTGTTTCTGAAAGAGAAACAACGTGCAGAACGGGGGTAACGCTGCCTTTCCTCTGCACCCCCGGGGCTGATGGGTAATCACTCCCAAATGTACGGTGGCCGGCAGGTGCAAACGCTAAACAACGGCCAAAAACACACACATAAGCAGGAAACACCTGCAAATAATGAAATGAAAAACCAACAAACCCTGAAAACACATACAACAGAACAACGCTGCATTTACAGAAATGATGCAAGCTAAACCTACAACACACAAACCCCGAAAACAAACGCAACAGAAAAACGCTGCAAATACAAAAACGATCAATCAGTCAAAAGCACATACAACCGAAAAACACATTACAAAAAAAAAAGACATTACAAAAAAAAAACATTCCGGAAGTGCTTCAGGCCTCTAGGGGGCGCGCTACGTGGAACAGATTGATGTATGACCAGACATAGAGAGAACGAACAAGAGGAAAGAAAGTTCATTTAAGTGGAGAAAGATATAAGAAGGTAAGTTTTGTTTTGTTTTTATACATAGAGTGTCATATTTACGTAGCTAGCGTTAGCGTGTTTGATCAAAGAGCTTGCAAGAGCCATTGTGCACCTAAATGTAACTCTTGACATAATATAGATATAGTATAGAACCGGGACGCCCTCCCTACACGCAGATCACACAGACTGGGTGGGGTCTCACGCCTGAGCCGCAAATGCGATGCGGTGATAAAAAGGAAATCAAATGTAAAAAGTTGAATTAAAATATTAAAACAGCAACACAACATTATTCCCACATTAAAAGACAGTCTGAAGAGGTGTGTTTTGAAGGTGGGGGGGGTCGGTGCAGTCTCTGATGTTTAATGGGAGTGAGTTCCAGAGGGGGGGGCAGCGATGGAGAAAGCTCTGTCCCCCCAGGTTCGGTGCTTGGTTTGTGGGGGGATAGACAGGAGGTTGGCTTCTGATGAGTTAATTGAAAGACCGTTCTTTAATACTATTATATTATTTAGGTAGCCGAAAAATATCCACTCTTTTTGACTTAACCTAGCTGTCCTACATTTTATTTCTCCGCAGATGTACTGTCCATTCTGTGGTTCCAGCGTGACATCTTCGCATGGCTTTTGTGGTGTCTGTGGCAGAGACATCACATTTCTAAAAGATGTGGCTAACAAAGTCCCTGAGGAGATGCCCACCACTAGTGCGCATCTAAGTGCACAGCCTAGCACCAGTGCAGGTATAGGTTGTTCCCAAACAATAAGTATTTATAGAAAACTTGGTTTAAAAGTTCGAATTCTGTTATTATACAAATACATCTCTAAACTATGTGGCTTACCTACTGTTGAATGTGTTATAAGATGTTCCTCAGAAGGGATTGAGGATGAGACTCCTATTGAACATAATGAAGAGTAATGAATGTTTTATTCCTGTTTTTTTGTAGCAGGAAGCTCAGCTGTAGAGTCCTTTCAGAAATATAGGGAAATAAAAAAGAGGGAGAGACCTTTTTTACAAAGGGACGGCATAACTCCAAAAATAAACAGAAATCGGTGAAGGTATGCAACGTTTTCTATTATGAATACATATGTCATTCTAATCTGCTCACCACACTCTCATATAATGTCCGAAATAATGTTTTATTCATTTGCATATTATTGTCTTTTTGCAGATTTCTGTTGGAGTTATGAGGAGGATGGATGGCTGCCTTAAACCTGTGAGAGGGAGGTCACTTCCCCTTAATGTTGAACCTCAATGGGCATGTGAAGAACTGTTGGCTGCTGCCATAAAAAAGCAGAAAGCCTTTAACCAGGACTTGGAAGATGGTGCCCATGTCTTGTTGTACCCTGATGCGAGGGTGATAACAAATATTCCCGGAACAGACACCCCTTTCACAGTACAGATGTACAAAGAGGCCATTGGAAAGCCCTACCAACGAATTACGTTGTACATCTGTACTCTTGAAGCCGTTGAAAACAGTTGTAAGTGCTTCTGACATATATTCCCCCTTGTTTAAAGCACTAAACTGTATAATAGTTCAAATGTAAACATAACAGTTGTTCTGTCTATATTTCTTAACACAATTCATTCCACCCATCATTCCTTTCTCTTCGTGGTTGAACTTATGACGTCAAATGGTCTTTTATGAATAGTGGCAGAAGAAATGAAATTTAAGTATCAACAAAAGCTTCCAAACTTTCCTTCTGTTCAAACTAAATATAAATTCCCTCTTAAGGATTGTAATTCTAAATTAACCTTTTTTCTCACAACAATGTTGGTTTGTTGTGCCCTAAATCCTAATGTGAGAGTGAAAAGGACGGTCAACAATATAATGTACATTTCACAAACATTTTGTGTTTCGATTGAATCCTTTCTGATTGATGTCAATCCAATTATTCAGGATTCAAACCAACATTTGATGATAGGTACAGACGTAGGGGAACAATTATTTGTATAGTATTAATCATGACACTTTTATTTTCTTAGGTTACACTGGAACAACCTCTTCAAGTGACGAGGACAGTGTGGTTGTTGCAAAGTTGCCATCTGGAGACAGTCTTGCTGACACCGTGGTCAGTTTGGATCTATCGTGGCATTTATTCTTAATTAAAGTGAATTTATTTTATTTCAGTCAGTCATTTGTGTGTTGTATGCAGGTGTGGGACTTTCCAAATGAACAGATCACTCCCAGAATGGACAACAGTTTGCCAGGGTCAAATAAAACATTGTCAACATGTTATTTTGTGCCACAAGAAGCAGAATGTTTTAACAGTACAGTAGTTTGAATATATTTTTTGTTTACCTTTATCAGACCTCTCAGGCACCCACAACCAGCGTCTGATCGGGTAAGAATAATTACAAATGTAATTATACCATGTAGGTTTGAATTTGTGAACATGAAATCAATAAATACCTTTGTGTGCTAATGACACTGTCATTAGATCAACTGCATCATTATTATTTATTGGGTAAAAGTAGGATGGAGAACCAACCCCATTCCAGGAAGAGGTCTAGTCTGCCCCGGGTCAGAACACCTTCTATAGGTAAACGATGTTGACAGTTGCATCGTGACACAGTTGTTTGGTGTGTATTTTTATTTGTACATTTGGTTGTTTGCATAGCCTCCAATCACAGTGGGTAATATTGCCAGGAAGCAGAACAATTATACTTTCATACATTTCCAAAGGACACCCACAACATCTTAGTGAAGACGATGCAAAAAACACCCACAAATATTTTTCAAAGATCAGATAGTTTGTTGCATCCATTTCAAATGTTTACAAGGATTGTGCAGGAGTATGACAAAGTGCTGTTGTCAGTTTAGAACCCAATGTATTGAAAACAGGAAGAGGATCGACATCCTTTTGCAAATATGACTGTCATGCATATATTATGTATTTGAAAGTAATTATTCAACTGTCTTCTCACTGCAGCAACTACACAACTGTGTATGCACTTATCATTATTGACAGCCAGTCTGAGCCAGAAGAGGAAACGGAGCAAACTGCAGAGGAAATGTATTAATTGTTACTTTTATCACTTAATTTTTTTATTCTATACTGTAAATCTTATTACTAGCTTCATCATTTAATATTACAATACATTACTTTGTCTTTCCCAGCAAAAATTAAAATACCTCTTGCAGCAGGTTCAATATTAATAGAGCCAATGTGTGGGATGGAGCAATCCGCGGCTTCAAAGGGGCCTCATTCGACCCCTCTCATCAGATGCAGGTTAAGTTTACTGATGATGAGGGACAAACTGAGGATGGAGTGGACACTGGTGGTCCCAAGCGTGAGTTCCTGACCCTCCTAATGGAATGCCTGAGAATGAGAAGAATATTTGATGGTCCACAGGACAGGAAATTCCTCACGTTCGACAATGCAGGTAATGATGTTCGCAAATCTGTCTTATGTTCAATACTGTACTGTAAATATAGGAGCTGCTTATGGATTTTGCAGCGGGATTTACGTGACAATTAAATTATCTTATACTGTATATCTTTATGATAACGTGGCAACTGTTGGTTAACGTGATAATAATTTAACAAAAAATATCAACAGCTGCAAAAGATGATGAATACTTTCATGCTGGGAGGATGATTGCAACTTCTATAGTTCAAAAACACAAGGAGAAAAAGAAGAAAACATCATGTCATGGCTCACTGTCTCAAAATCTGATTCTAAATGCATAATGTTCTTTATAAAGGTAGAACTAATACACAATTATGAATGTATAATATAAGCTATTTTGTGTATTTAATCATGCATTGGTCTACAATTTAATGATGGCTTCTACATATTTCACATAAACAGACAATGAAAAAATGTGTCCTTCATGCTGATAACTAGTGTATGCATCTGCCAATTAATATTCGAAACAGAGCAGTGTGTTGAATCCTTATTTCTTGCATTTGAAACAGATACAATACAAAAAGTGAACTTACTGTTGTGTTCAACTTCTGCCAAAAACTGTACATGTTTGCCACAGGAGCCACAGAACACTTGAACTGTCCCCAGAGAGGACAAAACATGGCGGCCTGAAAAGACATACATTGATGTAGTAAATCCATGTAATCAAGTCAATCAAAAACACATAGTCTAAATAGTGGTTTGCTAAATAAATAGAAAGATACATCATGTTTACCGTTGAATCTGTGTTCTCTCTCTCTCCTTGAATGTCTCTATATTTGTTCTTGAGCATGTCTAATGCACACTACTATCCTGTCATTACTTTGTCCCTCTTCACATTTTGTCACTTTCTCTCTCTCTCTTTCTCTCTCAATTCAATTCAATAGCTTTATTAGCATGACCATAGTTACAGGCAATTGCTAAAGCTCTGTATAGTTGCAACATCTATACACAAATACATACATATAAACAAACTGCTAAGAATTCAAATGTCCTTTTTCCGCGGTACTCACTATGGCCCGTGTTATTTGCCTGCACTTGATCTGTCATCTCTTTACAATGTTCTTCCCTCACTTTATCTTCTCTTCACTGAAGCTCTCCTCCCTCAGCTGGTGTAGTAGTTAGGCACACTAACGCTAGCTATATAAATATGACGCTCTATGTATAAAAAAACAAAACAAAACTTACCTTCTTATATCTTTCTCCACTTAAATGAACTTTCTTTCCTCTTGTTCGTTCTCTCTGTCTGGTCATACATCGATCTGTTCCACGTAGCGTGCCCCCTAGAGGCCTGGAGCACTTCTGGAATGTTTTTTTTTTGTAATGTCTTTTTTTTTTGTAATGTGTTTTTCGGTTGCATGTGCTTTTGACTTTGCATATCGTTTTTGTATTTGCAGCGTTTTTCTGTTGCGTTTGTTTTCGGGGTTTGTCTGTTGTAGATTTAGCTTGCATCATTTCTGTAAATGCAGCGTTTTTCTGTTGTATGTGTTTTCAGCGTTTGTTGGTTTTTCATTTCATTATTTGCAGGTGTTTCCTGCTTATGTGTGTGTTTTTGGCCGTTGTTTAGCGTTTGCACCTGCCGGCCACCGTACGAATGAGTTAGGGGAACAGAGACGAGGCATTTGAGTCCTGCAGGTTTTCCCCGTGTATTTTCGACCTTTCCAATCCAGACGAGATCACTATTCTTTCACACACACATACGGGTTTTGGGCCGAGGGCGACACCGTACTTCCGGTATCAACCATTTCACACGAGGTGCATACAGAATATCATAGTCGATTGCCTTAATCAATATAGTCAACTCTAAAATACCACATATATGCATTGGCATGATAATATTATTGTGACAAGTGGGGTATTCACCTGGTGTTTCCAGAAGATAGACGTAGATGCAGCCAAAATCGACCGAAGGCCACTTTTGAGGGTCGTATTTCCATACATTGTACATCCAACAACCCACACAGCTCTAGTTTACGCTGGTAACGACCTAGATCACACCCCTCAAATCCAGAGATGTAATCCGAAGACATGCAGCGATTTCTTCGGTCGTTAATTCAGAAAAAAAACCTAGTGCGCTCTGCCTGGCTACATAAGCTAGCTGTTTATATTAGCATTCCCAGGATTTTTGCACCTCCAGAAAATGGCGTCTTTATAAAAAAATATATGGCGCGCGTTGCATTGTGGGTAGCTGTGACGTCACTGTGTGTGAAAGAATGGAAGCAAACAAGAGACAGAAGTATTTTAATTTTATTAGACACCGAATTTATAGCATTGAAAATAATTAGGCTACTTTGAAAATCATGTATCTGAATGTTTTTGCTCCAAATTTACCTATGTGAAATAAAAATGTAAAAATTCAAGTGAAACAATTTCGACGTCAAAAAATTCGATGTCCAAAATTGCGATGCAGCATCATCCGGGCTACTCAGACAGGATAAGCAATCAAGCCCTAATGCAATCAAACCGACTTCTGGCACGGCTTTGTCAGTCATGTGATCACAACAACCCGGGAGAAAAATGACGGAGAACAGCGGGGCTCGCCGCTCGGGTAAGTAGTCAGTTTGTGCTCTTTATTTTACAAGCAGTGAGGGCTCGACAGCATTTGTATCTTTTGTATCTAGCTAAATGAGTGAAGTAGCCTTGTGCCTTGCTGTTAGCAAGCTCCGTAGTTATCATTAATTGAAGTGAATCACAACGTTACCGTGTCCTTTTGTGTGTGTGTGTGTGTGTGTGTGTGTGTGTGTGTGTGTGTGTGTGTGTGTGTGTGTGTGTGTGTGTGTGTGTGTGTGTGTGTGTGTGTGTGTGTGTGTGTGTGTGTGTGTGTGTGTGTGTGTGTGTGTGTGTGTGTGTGTGTGTGTGTGTGTGTGTGTGTGTGTGTGTGTGTGTGTGTGTGTGTGTGTGTGTGTGTGTGTGTGTGTGTGTGTGTGTGTGTGTGTGTGTGTGTGTGTGTGTGTGTGGGGGGGGGGGGGTTTGCAAAGTAACGTAACGATCACTTCGGTTAGATAAGTCAAGTAGACCATGCTACACTATACGAAATACTCTCTTACAAAAGTCCTGCATTTAAACATGTTAATGTTACTTTAGTAAAAGTATGCTAGTATATTTAGGAAAGTGTTGTTAAAGTATTTAAAGTAGACACAAGTTATACTATTATATTATATCATTTGATTTATTGTTATTACCGATGCAAGAGTTGACTTAACTGTTGTAGTTGGAGCTCATTTTGAACAATGATCTAACTAATGATTACTTTCATAATGGTTTAATGTGCTGACTATTTTCTACATTAATAGATGCAGGTCTGGTTTGTTCAAACTCTCAAAATAGTAGGACATGCTGTCATAATTACCCAGAGTCCGAAGTGACACCTTTACAATGTTAAAGCTGTTAGATAAATGTAGTGACGTAAAAACTAAAGTATTCAAGATAGTGTAGTGGAAAAGAGATAATGTTTTTGTTTTTTAATTGTTACCAAAACAAAATCTCTTGTTTTGGACTGACAGTAATGATTCAAGAAATAGTAGATCAATAAATACACACACATCCATTTGTTGTGGATGGAACACAACAAATGGTGCTCTTACCTGTGATGCCTCCTCCACACATTATAACCAGACTGTATCATTCAAACTACTAAGTAACAGTTCTAGCTACTTGACTTCAGACAAACAATTCAAAAGACAAAATCAACACAATTTATTGAAAGACCAATCTTTATTTCTCTCCTTTTGTTTGTGTTATTAAACCCTGTCAATCTAAAAAACTGAGCAACTCAACAGTTAACTTTATATTTCTTATTGTCCAAAGCATCTGTTACACTATTTGTTCCCCTCTCATATTCACAGGATGGATGATTAGAGACCTCAGCTTTATGAACGTCCCGTCTGTTAGTTTGGCCAGAGAGGGCTGAGGGTCTTAGCCCATGCTGGGCATAGCTGTTACCACCTGCACAGGCCTGTCAATTAACAGATTAACATTTAGTGTAATTTATGTATATTATTTCGTTTTTATTTAAAAAAAAATGTTGATGGTTCATGCTTGATAACTTTTAGTTCACATTTCAGTAAATTGTATTTGCACTCCTTTTGTCCGTTATTCTTACTGAAAATGTTAGATTACACATTCACATCTGACTGAAGATTGGCACCATGTATTTGTGACGTTGCAAACTTGGCGGTACAAGGCACAAGTATTGTGAAGCTCATAAAGTGAGGCAAATGCATTTGATCAGCTGACTCTTTTTTTTGCCAAACTTTATAGGCCTGACAATAATCACACTGTCTCTGAGGTGCAACGTAAAACACAAAACAACACAAATGAAGTTCCTGTTAGACTAGAAAACTATTCAGTGTGCAGGTCTTTGTGTTACAATATAAGTGTCTCTTAGTGAATGTCCTGTACTGCTCTTAAATCTCATCACATCAGCTTCTCCTTTCCCTCTTGGATGTTCTTCTGGACCCTCAGAGAAAGAGAACATGGTGAAGCAGTCCTGTCTCTCAGGCCTGTCCTTTCCTAACAGAAATATCAAGAAACATATTATTGCAGAGCAAGTGTGTTATTTAAGAAAGAGGTGTGTTTGTTTGTTCATAAATATAATGATTTTCTTATTTGAATGTGTTTTTTAAATCCAACAGTGTACTACAAAGATAATCAGATTATGAATAAACTGTTCTAAATTCATCAACATTGAAATACATGTATTATTAAAATAATATTTAACTGTTATCAAAACTTAGTGCAACTGTAGAAGCTTGCTCTGTTCGGTTGTCTCACTGAAAGACAAAGGGTCGCAGCTCTCACTATGTTCAATAATATTTGCCTTAAATACATTGAAATGTGAAAGTTGAACAAAAAAGTGATGTTGCTTGGTAAAATGTAAATGTAACCTTTTGCAAAGAAAGTCCACTCAACATCACTGATGTGCAGGTGATCTAGTATTCAGCCATGTTTAATGGCATGTATATCAGTGTATTAGAGTCATTACTTTATGCATTCTTTGTAAAGTATGAAAAAGGTGTACCTTGGAATCCGTGCTGAAGTTCTCTGCTGTTAGGAGTCCAGATCTGTCTCTCCTCCTCTGGTCCAGCCTGTCTGGGTCACCTTAAGGACACTTTGAACAAACAGATGTAAAGTTACATGCGTGGCTTACAGACTTCTTTACATGCAAACTACTTTTTATCTTCTTTTAAAAACAGGTCATAATCTTATTGTTATACTTCAGAAATGGCTGGATATCACAGTCCTTATACTGTATCAGTTTGATTGAGTATTATTGTGTAGGTCCTTTTTATTTTACTGTTACTTTGGATGAGGTTTTCATGAGTCAGTCAAATTAATATGTTTTCATATGCCATATTCATATGCATCACACACATAAGGGTAAGACACAAACCTATTTAACAAATGCAATGCAATGGATAAGCTTAATTTCCACTGAAGTCACAGATAACGTCATATCTAATATTTAAACAAATCATTTCCTTGTCACTAAAGCATTGACTGCTATTCATCGTCCTTAAATGCAGGAATTAAGTTACATGTTCTGTTCTACAGCCACGAAAAGGCTGTTTCTCAAGTGTGATGATAATACAATTAAAAGAGGCATTGGTAATAATAATATTAAAAACAACAATGTTTGGGTCGTTCGTCGGATAGGCCGTTAGCTGCAATAAATAACTCTAGTTCAACAAACCATATTACAATATCTAAGGGAGCGTTATTTCTGGACCATCTTGAAATGTGACGTTCATATTTTAAAGATACACACATTTCATTGTGAGGTTGATTTAATATACACTAAGCCTCTCTTCAACAATACGTTGACGTTAGCTAGTCTATTTTAAGCTATAGTAGAGCATAGCGAATTTAAATGAACCTTAACAATGCATACAGTGTAGTGCCAGGAAAAGGGAGTCGGAGGCGGTGTATTAAGAACAGAGTTCTAATCTTTATTAGCCATTAATAACAGAGAGGTTATCACATGAACTGCTCTGCTTGATGAGCTAGCAGGAATGGAAGCTAACGCTACAGGTGTTCCCACTAAAGGGTCCGTGTGGCAACACAATACGAGAGGTGAATTATGTCCAATAACGTGTCACCACACAAGCCCCCCCAGAATTAACGTGTAAAAAAAATCCGTATGGGGAGGAGGAACAATCCGCCTGCCCCCACGAGACCTGCGTACCGGTGTCGGTACAGCGACCTCCGCCCGTGCGGCCCCTGACTGAGGAGGGACCGGAACAACAGGTCCACACTCCCTGACAGGAATCAAAGCCAGCGGCCGAGTCAGCACCACCGGCCGGTCCACGTCCAAGTGAGCAGCCTTCACCCGGTCAACCGAGACGTGCTCAGCCTTACCGCCCATGTCGACCACCAGGTGTTTTTCACGTGTTCCAAAACCCGGAAAGGTCCATCGTAAGCGGGCTGCAGGGGGCCTCTGTGTGCGTCGTAACGAATGAAGACGTGCCCAGCCGAGCGTAGCTCCGCGGGAACTCGAGACCCTGGCGCACCGTGCTGAGTAGTCGGGACTGGAGCGAAAGCCTCCGCCGCGTCACGCAGAAAAACTCGCTGGGCCGTGGCAGACCAGGGAGCTGATGCATTTGGGAGGAAATCCCCCGGAACTCTCAGCGGCTGACCGTAGACCATCTCCGCTGTAGGACACTGCAGATCTTCCTTAGGTGCGGTCCTCAGGCCCAGCATCACCCAGGGCAGCTTGTCGACCCAGTTACCGTCCGTAAGGCCGGCCTTGAGGGCTGCCGGCCTTGAGGGCCGCCTTCATGGAGCGATGGAAGCGCTCGCAGAGGCCGTTAGCCTGAGGGTGATAAGCGGTAGTCCTGTGCAGCTTAACCCCCAAAACCGCCTGCCACAGCGTTCCAGAGCTCGGACGTGAACTGAGAGCCCCTGTCTGAGGAAATGTCTGACGGGGTGCCAAAACGACACACCCACGTTGCAATGAAGGCCCGGGCAACGTCTGCGGCTGATGTCGAAACGAGCGGAACCGCCTCCGGCCAACGGGTTGTTCTGTCCACCATGGTGAGGAGGTAGGAAAACCCCTGAGAGGAAGGCAATGGACCAACCAGGTCAATGTTGACGTGATCAAACCTCCTCTCAGGCACCAGGAAACGCTCCAACGGGGCCTTCGTGTGGCGGTGCACCTTAGCGCCGTTGACAAGCCACGCACTCCCTGGCCCAAGTCCTCACGTCCCTTTTCAGTCCTTGCCAAACGAACTTCGCCGCTACCAAACGTACTGAAGGTTTAACACGTCAAATCAACAAATCAACACGTAATGAAATAAGACCCCACGGTTTGATGATTGATAGGTGTGTGGGCTGTCTTCCATTTTGACACACAGAACAATGGGGGCTATCCACCCTTATCCACAATGTAAAGTAATTCACACAGCCTCTTCTCTCTGTGAGGAGCAGCAGGTTCAGCTTCATTTAAAGGGGACCTATCAGGCAAAATGCACCTTTGGACGTCTTTTATACATGAATATGTGTCCCCGGTGTTCCAGGGAACTCACCAAGTGTCAGAAAACACAACCCTCTCTATTTTCCTCCTTCGCCAAATCTCTAAAAAAGGGGCTGAAACGGATCTGAAAAAAACGGATCCAGATTTCAACACTTTCCTACGTCACAAAGAGACGTGCTCCGCTTATTGGTCAACTCTCCACCTATCAGGGGAATGAGCCACGGCCACGTGCATTGCCAAACCTCTCATTCGCATATAGGCTATCGGCAGGCTAAATCAACTCCAATCACATCTGTGTTTTTGTCTGCTCTTGCCAGGATGTCTAAGCGAGTTCAACTTTGTGCTGTTGTTGGCTGCAAGACTCGGGACAGGGGACTGCATGCAATGCCATCAGTGGAAAAAGAAAAATAATCTGTGGCTAGACTTCATTTTCAAGGGACATGTGCCAGAAGACCACGGCAGATTTCTGTTTGTGTGTTCCAAACATTTTACCACGGACATGTTTATGAACTTCTCTCAAGTCCAACACGGATATGTCTCCAAGCTAATGCTAAACCCGGGATCAATACCAACCATCCGGGAGCAGGCCAGTGAGGACACATCCAATTTTGAAGCTGTAAGTTTTTATTTAGCGGTGTTTTTCCTGATAAAGCTATCTCTAGCTTGTAGTATGTAGCATGTAGCATGTAGCTTCGCCGTATCAATGTCGCCTCAAACCCAAATAGTAATCGGTTAGGTGTTTATATGTTTTTATAACATTTTATATTGTACGCTCCGCAGTCTTTGCTTTGTCTTTTATTTTAATTATCAGGCATTTGCTAACATGTTCAGACATACTGCCGTAATGGCGATCTGTGTGAAGGCTGTAAAGCCACGCCCTAGCCGATAACACAAGTATTTATTCTCCTATTTATTAGTATTTTGTATCCTCTAAAATCATATTGAGTAAGTTATAATAACAAACGTAATCTTCTGTAGGTAAGTGCCGTTTTTTCCAGCGTTATATGTAAAAGCTTTTGTGATTGTAGTCTGTAAGAACGATCAGATCTGTAAGCTAAGCTACGCTACGCTAATGAGACATGCCGTTTTTTCCAGCGTTATATGTAAAAGCTTTTGTATGTTTACTTGTTTACGCACATGAATATAAATGGGGATGTGTTAGGATACAACACTGTGTGTATGTATGTGAGGGGGGACACACACCATGAGTAAAACAGAACTAAAGCCCCGTTGGTCTGTTGTTGTTGTTGACGAGGCCTTACCTAGCAACAGGCTAATTAGTGGCTAGCACTCATTACAATCAGTCTACTGAGCTCAGCCCCTCTCCAACACATCATCTGTATTGAGTCAGAAACACAGCATGCACGTTACGGTTCAAAACTAACTCAGATTGGAAAAGGCTAAGCAAAGAGCTTTGCTAAATAGAGAGTTTTAGCCCCCATCTTTTGGGATTTCAGACGATATTTATCCAAATAGTATTTTCTCATCCTGAATACTAAATTGAGATGATTTTGTTTTCTTCTTTACAGGCCAGCACCTCACATGCTACCAGCAGATTACCTGTGATGACAGATTCTGCATGTCAGACTGACCCACCCAAGTACCGTACTGTTCGTACACAGCTATCCTCGAGGACTCTTGGTTCACATCGAAGTACAGGTTAGAAGCACGTTTTTCAAATGTTCTTTGGATACATCTTGACATTCTGATGTTGTAGCCTTTAATTTGTGTGCTTCTAATTGTTGTAAAATATTTTTGTTTTATCTTTTGTTTTGTTTTTAATGTCAAATACAATTATGTTACAGCTGTCCAGGCTAAAATTCCCTGCAGAAGCGTTGGTGTCGAAACACTTCCGTTGGAAGTGCCAGTGCCCTTTTTAACATCCACCCCCTTAAAGAGACCACCAAAGAGGCCCCGTGTGGATCTTGAAGAGGAATACGAAGATCCATTTGAGGGAAGCTCTTCTTTAGTGATTTCCGAAGGCCAGGATGCAACTTATGATCCAGCAGAATCCATAACAAATGCTACAGAAACAACAGCCATGTCGTAAGTTACTGAAATATCACTATGTGTGAGTTTGTCTATGTATTGTATTTTTTGCTGTATATAATTCAAACATTGATAATAGGGAAACACCAAAGATCTCTAAAGCAACAATCTGTGTGATGGATATTAACTTCTATTTTTTTGTTTTAGTGGTCAAGAACAAAACCCCCCCCAGACGATCAACACATACATCGTGTATGAGACCTGCCTCATGGAGCTTTTTGAATCATGTCCTGTGTGCAAGCGTGTGTGTGATGTACAAACCAGAAGGATCGGTACATTCATATCAGTGCAGCAGCTGTGCCCCCATTGTCAGTTTACAAGAAACTGGAATAGCCAGCCTGTTCTTGGGAGTACTCCAGTTGGAAACCTGCAGCTATCAGTTGCAACATATGTCAACAGAGCATCTTTCTACAAACTTTCAAAGGTAAATTAACTGCAGAAGATTGTATTGCCAATGTTTGAAAATGCAAATGTTGTTGTTGAATACGATAGGACAAGGTAACAATAACAAGAGTGAGAAAATGATGACATAAAATAATGACATGTTCAGCTCTTTCCCTGTTTAAAAAAGGGCAGCTCATTTGCACTTTCCAGGTTCTCCTCATCGACTCGACAACAAATCTACAGGTGATCTTTGAGATTAAAATGTGTTCTTGCGGTTTTCTTTCAACCATTAGGTCTTCAAACAATGAATATGCAGCTATGCAAATACAACACCTTCCGAAGGCATGCCAGGATGTTCATTGAGCCAGCGATTGTTTCTTACTGGCAAAAATCACAGGAAGGCATGCTACAGAAGCTCCATGCAGAGGAGAAAGTGATAGTTGGTGGTGATATGAGGGCTGACTCCAGGTATGTATTTTTTATATAATTCACATTTTACATTTCAGAAAGGGGTTTCACTATGTGTGATTTATTAAATTAATGGTTCCTGAAAAACATATGCTAAACACTACAAGCAAAAATACAAATTCACCATCCGCAGAGAAAAGTAATTACTGTAAAACATATTTTCACAGGCCACTATGCAAAGTTCGGAAGCTACACTATGGTGGACCTGAAGAACAACAAAGTCGTTGACCTCCAGTTGGTTCAGGTAAGTGGGGTGAAATGAAATATCAATGTTTTTTTCTTTAACACTGTTTGCACGTTATATTTAAAATGTGTGTATCAATGGTTATTTGTATGTGTCATAACAGAGCAATGAGGTTGGTGGAAGCTACCACATGGAGTTAGAGGGCCTGAAAAGGAGTCTGGAGTTGTTAAAGGAACGTGGTGTGACTCTGGACTGTATTGTCATGGACAGACATCTGCAAATTCAGAAATTCCTAAGTAAAAGAGCCTTCTTTCCACCTTTCTTAAGCTCCTTTTGTTCTTTGGTTTTAGCGCCTGGCCGACGCGCTCACACATCACTCAGAGTCACCTTTCTTTTGGTATATTTATTTCCAAGTTATCCTTCTCTGCAGTGCAATGCAGCGGTCAAAAAACCGTGTGGCTTCACAACCAAACTAGAACACAGAGTATCATCAGCAGGATTCTTTTAACCAGCTGAGGCAATCGCAGCACCAATCAGCCGCTCCGCCCAGCCGTGGCTGCGGATCATGATCACTTGACACCAATCAATTATACTCCATTACATACATTAAATGATTAAATAATACAAATAATAAATCAACGTTTTGGCTCCTACACTCCGGCCCCTAATTGTTATGGAATCACACATGACAATTACTAATAAACATAAAATGGAGAGCCAATACAAAACATTTGTTCAGGGCTTCTGACCCTTTGTAGGGCGAATGTGTATTAACACATGAGTCCGTGTGTGTAAATGTGCTTGTGTGGTGCAAGAGGGGAAGGGGGCTAGAGCTCATTTTGGGACTCGACCAGCAGTAACAGCTTTGTGATGGGTCGACGGAGTGTGCTGGTTTTTGTCTGTACTTCCACTTGTCGTACAAAACCTCTCGAGTCTGGCAAGACTTGCGTTATTCGTCCCATGAGCCAGGAATTTCTTGGAGCATTTTCGTCGACGATAAGGACAATGTCCCCTGTTGCGAAATTCCTCCTTTTCCTGTTCCACTTTTGCCTTATTTGGAGTTCCGGTAGGTATTCCTTGGTCCATCGCTTCCAAAATAAGTTGGCCATGTACTGAATTTGGCGCCATCTTCTCTTCCCGTGGCAGTCGCTCGGATTGAAGACACCAGGCGGAAGAAATGGTTTTGATTTGAGCAGCAAAAAGTGATTTGGAGTGAGGGGCTCTAAATCTCCAGGGTCGTTGGAAACAGTCGTTATGGGTCGATCATTTATGATCGCCTCCACTTCGCAGAAAAGTGTGGCAAGTCCTTCCTCGTCAAGCTTCTGTTCTTGCGTGAGGGCACTGAGAATGCGTCTGACGGTTCTGATTTGTCTTTCCCAGATTCCTCCGTGGTGGGAGCCTGCTGGTGGGTTAAATATCCACTTTACTTCCCCTTTAAGAAGCTTGTTCTGGATTTGTGTGTGGTTTAACTCTTGTATTGCTTCTTTTAGTTCACGTTCAGCTCTAACCAAATTGGTTCCGTTGTCTGACCTCATGACCTTGACAGGGCCTCTTCTTGCAATAAATCTCCTGATGGCATTAATGCAAGAGTCAGTGTTGAGACTGTGTGCAAGTTCAAGGTGAACTGCTCTGATGTTTAGACAGGTAAAAATTACACCGTATCTTTTAACTGTGGCTCTTCTCTGTTTCAACTCAAATGGGCCAAAGAAATCCACGCCCACGTTTGTGAAGGGCGGATCATCAGGGGTAACTCTTTCTTCCGGCAAGTCTGCCATGAATTGCTGACTTTTTACACCACTGAGTTTCCTGCAGGTTACACATTTAGAGAGGATTTTTCGGATTGCAGAATTTCCTCCAGGAATCCAATATTTCTGCCTTAAACCTGACAGAGTAGGACTCCTTCCACTGTGCCCTATGTTCTCATGGACATGTCTGATGAGGAGTTGAGTCACATGATTGTTTGCAGGTAAGATAATTGGGCTTTTGGCTTCGGCTGGCATTGCGGATTTCGATAACCTTCCGCCAACTTTTACCAAGTTGTTCTGCAGAATGGGTGCCAGTTTGTGAAGATGACTGCTCCTTTTGACTGCAAGTCCTTTCTTTAGCGCAGTTATCTCATCCTTAAATGAAGCGGACTGACAAAACTGAATTATGGCAGCTTCCGCTTCCTCCAAGTTTTCAACAGTGAGAGGTCCTTTTTCATGTTTTGCTCTCTTTTCCTTCAAATCCATTTTTGCCCTCGCCATCAGAGCGGATTTTATGCGTAGCATCCAGGCCACAGCTTTTTTCAGGCGATGCCAGTGGGAATAGTAAGTGAGCAACTTGTTCACTGTACTAGAGCTTTCTTCCATGGGGTTGAGACTTACGGCAAAAACTTTGACTTCAGGGTCGCTGGCTGTTAGAGTCAAATCTGGAGATTTAGGCCACTGATGCTCAGGGAGACTAAGGAACTCTGGTCCCCTTAACCAGGTTTCATCTCTCAGAAAGCGACTTACAGAGATTCCCCTTGATACACAGTCAGCTGGATTCAGGCAACCATTAACATACCTCCATTGGGAAGTCTCTGAAGCAGATCGAATGACTGCGACTCTGTTGGCGACGAAGGTGTGGAATCTTGTAGTTTCATTTTGTATGTACTTCAACACAGATGTGCTGTCAGTCCAAAACACGGATGGCTGGAGTTTAAGCTCCAACTCTTCCTGTAACATTCGGTCCATCCGGACGGCTACAGTGGCAGCGGTAAGCTCCATTCTTGGGATGGTCACAGGTTTGAGTGGAACTACTCTGGCCTTACCCATGATAAAGGAACAATGAACTGCGTTTGCTTTGTTCATCAGGCGAAGGTAAGATACTGTTCCGTAACCACTTTCACTAGCATCTCCAAAGTGGTGAAGCTGAGCTGAGACTGGATCTCCAAAGTTGAGTGGTGTGATGCATCTTTTGACTTTGAAGTCTCTCAGTAATTGCAAGTGGTGTAGCCAGCTCAACCACTGTTCCTTACATTCTTCAGGAATATTTTCGTCCCATCCTAGCCTTATTCCTGTTAATGTTTGCAAGATTTGCTTTGCAGGGAGGATCACAGGGGACAACATACCCAGCGGATCAAATATAGAGCTCACTACTGACAGAATACCTCTCCTGGTAAGTGGTTTATCCTGAGGAGTAAATTTGAAATGGAATGAGTCAGTTTCCGTGCACCACTGAACTCCGAGAGCTCTTTCAACAGGTAGGGTACTTTTATCCAGATCCAGATCCTTGATTTCCTTTGATCTACTTTCCTCAGGTATTGTTTGTAGTAGAGCTCTGCTGTTGCTTACCCATTTGTTTAACTTGAAACCACCCTTACTGCACAGGGTTTTAAGTTCGTGAGCGATTATCACTGCCTTCCTCTCGTCTTCCATTGATTTTAGGCAATCGTCCACATACAAATTTCTTAGCATCGAAGAGACAGCCTCTGGGCTAAAGTCATCCACATTGTCTCTTGCACACTGTTGTAGGGCAAAGTTGGCACAACTAGGCGAGGATGTTGCTCCAAAGATGTGTACAACCATTTGGTACTCTTCTAGCTCACTACTGAGATCTCCATCGGGCCACCACAAGAATGTGAGAAGATCTGAGTCTTCCTCTGGCACCTTGACCTGATGGAACATGGCTTCAATATCTGCCATGAATGCAATGTTCTTCTGCCGGAATCTTGTAAGGACACCAATAAGACTGTTGGTTAAATCTGGGCCTTGGAGAAGACGTGCATTCAGAGATGTGCCCTGGTAAGTTGCACCGCAATCAAAAACCACCCTCAGTTTACGCTTTTTTGGATGGTACACGCCGTGGTGTGGAATATACCAGCTCCTTTTGCTTTGATTTGCCTTGTCTTTTTGTTCAGGTGTCATTCTGATGGCAAAACCTTTATCAACAACATCCGCCATGAACTCTTTGTACTCCTTGTAGAATTTGTTGTTTTGTTGGAATTTTCTTTTTAGGTTCAAAGTTCTTTGTTCAGCAACACGTCTATTATTGGGAAAATCAAGTCCTTTTTCCTTTAATGGCAGTCCAATACTGTAGTGTCCGTCTACTAACTTGACAGAATTAGAGACACTTTCCATGAACTTGTGATCCTCTCTTGACATTTCCAGACGCTCCTTGTGTTGATGTTCTGGAAAGTCCAGCTTCACTTGCTGCTTCAACAATTCCTCGATTTCCACAACAGAAATTCTGTTTGCTGTAACGACTGGCTTAATCCAACGAGTCGTATCTGACCTTCCTAGAGGTCCATTTATTGTCCAACCTAAAATGGTCTTAACAGCGTACGGGCCATTCCCTTGGCTGTTTATGACTTTGCATGGCTCTAGAGCTTTTGGCACGTTGCACCCAATTAGCAAGCCAACCTCTGCATCAATTTGTGGTATATTGACCTCTTTCAGGTATTCCCATTGTCCCACATCCTCCTGAGAGGGAATATTTGCCTTTCGTACTGGTATTTTGTTTTGTGAATAAACAGGTGGAAGTGCTACATACTGGTTACTTTCTAGACCACATATTTCAAGGTCACATGCAACAGATGTTTTAACTGACTCCTCTTTATTCATTGTTCGTAAGAGTATCTTCGTGTTGCGTCCAGTCACTTGAAGCTGCTGTAGAATGGACTCTGTGCAAAAGGTAGCCGTACTACCTGGGTCCAGAAAGGCGTATGTTGTTATGATGGTATTACCCTGTTTTGTTTTCACCTTCACAGGAACGATAGCCAGGGTGCCTTCAGGCTCACCGGCCCCAATATCCTCCTCCCGTGAATCATCTTTATCCATATCCACTAAAGCATTTGCAACAGTCTTTACCTTTCCTTTGCCCGACTCGATATTACTGAAATGCAACAGAGTGGGGTGTGTGAGATTGCACTCTTTGCAGGTATGTCTTTGTTTGCATCCTTTACTCATGTGGCCCTTTTCTAAACATCCAAAGCAAAGTCCTTTGCTTCTGAGGAATTCCAACTTCTCTTTGTGGGTGTTTTTGAGAATCTGATTGCAAGCAGAAAGATGGTGTTCTCCTTTACAGTAGATGCATCGGTTTGATTGGGATGTGTCACTGTGTCGGTTACAGTTTTCTTTCTGAGGTAATGGGGATACACTAGTGGCAAAACCACTTTTATATAACTCTGGAGATCTCGGTTTGAACCTTGCGCTGGGAGTAGCAGGAACGAATGTGTAGCTTGTCTTTGCTGATGTATTTGGAATTTCCTTTAAGTTTCCGAACACTGGATGAGAAAGGATTCTAGCATGATGGTCGACAAACTTCACTAGATCTTCAAACTTAACTCTTCTGTTGTTTCCATCTTGTATGTTACAAGCTTTAGCTCTCCAGTTTTCTCTAAGCTTATATGGGAGTTTAGAAAGAACAGCTCGCATGTTGATTGGGTGATCCATTTCCTCCATGTATTCCACACTATCCATTGTATTGAGACATCCATTCAGAAACACAGCAAAGGTTTTTAAAGCTTGTGGATCCTCAGGTTTAATAGATGGCCAATTGAGAGCCTTGTCGATGTAGGCTGTCGCGATAAGATATTCATCTCCATAATGATGCTTCAACAACCTTTTTGCTTCCGTGTATCCTTTGTCAGATTGCATATATTGGCAACTGCGCACAAGCTCTCTTGGTTGGCTAATAGTGCATTGCTCCAAGAAGTAAAGCCTGTCCTTACTGATTTCTGTTTTCTCTTCAATACCATGCTCAAATGCTCTTATGAAGGACCGATAGTCCAAAGGGTTTCCGTTGAAGGTAGGAATGCTGAGCGGGGGTAATGAAGAAAGTTTCTGCTGCTTTACCATTGTTTCTGTTATTATGGTCTGTTTTTCCATGATGCTTATTAAGCCGTTCATATTGCCCTCTCCCTTGCTAGAAGACGTGCTGGATGAAGTTGAACTTTCAGGACGTTGTGGTATGAATTGTGTTTCACTATTAACGGCATTTGCAGTTTTATTGATGTTTGGTGTATGCTTGTTAGCATTCAAATGAGCATTTTCTTGCTCTAATGCTGTACTCACAAACAGTGAGTGATCCAAATATTCATTCATTCTGTCTCCTGCTTGGTACATGCCTTCATGAGAATCCTCCATTCCTTTGATTACACTTAATTTTGCAGTGTTTGCTGCAATATCTGTTTCAAGTTCCAGCTGTTCCTTTCTTTCCTTCAAACCGGCTTCCTCCCTTTCCAGTGCTTGCTTCTGAGTCAGCCTAGCAGCTCGTGCTAACAATTCTGCATTTCTATTTTCCAACTTTATTTTAGCAGATGTGATAGAAGACCGAGAGGATCTCCTTGAACTTTGTGAATGAACACTCTTTACGTTTGAAATACTGTCCCGAGGTGCAACACTCGTATGTCCTTTTATTTTTGTCTGGACAACATTGGACACAGGAGCATCAGCGATCCAGTTTAAGACCTCCTGATTAAACTCTTCCAAGGCAGCTGCTTTGGGGTTATACCACTCATCCTGATCCATTTCTTTCTCCTCCTCAGTGGACATTAAAGCTTGAACAGAATCATTTAACTGTTCCATTTCTTTGTGTAGTTGTGTAAACTCACTTTCCCTTTTCGACTTAACCAGTTCCACATTGCAGACATTTTCCATTAATTGTCTGATTTCATTTATTTTCCTTGTCAATGCACCCAATTTTGCACTCCTTGATGATTTCAGTCGTTTGAGCCTTTCCATATACACACAGTCAATGTCACTTTCCAAGCTTTCCAAGTCTGCCATTTTTGTTCAAGACAACACGTTTATTCCTTTTGAATTTTACTTCATTGTTTGTGGACTTTCATTGTCTTGCCTTGAGTTGAGACGTTTCCAACAGTCTTTGAACGCTCCACAGCAGTGACGCGTTACAGATGTAGTTGGGGGAGGAGTGATTGTTGCCTTCAGTCATTCACGTTTCACAACACCGTCGTTCTAGGAAGTAGAATCCGTAGTAAAACGAAGGCGAGTATTTGACACGCTGTTATGAGTTCTTGTTTTCAAAACATACGTTTCCACGGACCAGCGCTCATCAAGCTGGGTTTTTTGACGAATAAAAGAGCCTTCTTTCCACCTTTCTTAAGCTCCTTTTGTTCTTTGGTTTTAGCGCCTGGCCGACGCGCTCACACATCACTCAGAGTCACCTTTCTTTTGGTATATTTATTTCCAAGTTATCCTTCTCTGCAGTGCAATGCAGCGGTCAAAAAACCGTGTGGCTTCACAACCAAACTAGAACACAGAGTATCATCAGCAGGATTCTTTTAACCAGCTGAGGCAATCGCAGCACCAATCAGCCGCTCCGCCCAGCCGTGGCTGCGGATCATGATCACTTGACACCAATCAATTATACTCCATTACATACATTAAATGATTAAATAATACAAATAATAAATCAACGTTTTGGCTCCTACACTAAGGGAAAGCAGCATCACCCAATTCTTTGATGTGTGGCACATAGAAAAAGGTATTTTTATTTTACATTACATTACATTACATTGCATTTAGCTGACGCTTTTGTCCAAAGCGACTTACAATAAGTACATTCGACCAGGAAGACACAACCTTGAAGAAAACAGAATCATATAAGTATATCAGGTTTCATAGAGCCAAACATTTCAAGTGCTACTCAACTGGCTTTAGGTAATCCAGTCCTTTATTAGTATAAAAGTGCTTCGTTAATCGTTCTAACGCTCGAAGTGGAGTCGAAAGAGATGAGTTTTGAGTTTGCGCCGGAAGATGTGCAAGCTATCTGCCGTCCTGATGTCAATGGGGAGCTCATTCCACCATCTTGGAGCCAGGATAGCAAACCCACGTGTTTTCGCCGATGGGAACTTGGGTCCCCCTCGCAGCGAGGGCGCAACGAGTCGTTTGGCTGATGCAGAGCGTAGTGCACGCGCTGGGGTGTACGGTTTAACCATGTCCTGGATGTAGGAAGGGCCAGATCCATTCGCAGCACGGTAAGCAAGTACCAGTGTCTTGAAGAGGATTCTAGCAGTTACCGGAAGCCAGTGAAGGGAGCGGAGGAGCGGAGTGGTGTGGGAGAATTTAGGAAGGTTGAAAACCAGACGAGCCGCTGCATTCTGGATGAGCTGCAGAGGTCGGATGGCACATGCAGGTAGACCAGCCAGGAGGGAGTTGCAGTAGTCTAGGCGTGAGATGACGAGAGCCTGGACCAGAACCTGAGTCGCTTTCTGAGTCAGCTGGGGACGTATCTTCCTGATGTTGTAAAGCGTGTATCTGCAGCAGCGGGTTGTAGCAGCGATGTTTGCAGTGAAGGACAGGTTGTTATCTAGGGTCACACCCAGATTCCTTGCAGTCTGAGTCGGGGAAACAACTGAGGTGCCGATGTTGATTGTCAGGTCAAGAGTTGGACAATCTTTTCCCGGGAGGAAGAGCAGCTCAGTCTTGTCAAGGTTGAGCTTGAGGTGGTGAGCAGACATCCACTGAGAGATGTCAGCTAGACAAGCAGAGATGCGTGCGACGACCTGGGTCTCTGAGCGGGGAAAGGACAGAATTAATTGGGTGTCGTCAGCGTAGCAGTGGTAAGAAAAACCATGCGGGCTAATGACTGATCCGAGCGAGTTTGTGTACAAGGAGAAGAGGAGGGGACCAAGAACAGAGCCCTGAGGGACCCCCGTAGTTAATTGACAAGGGTCGGACTCAGACCCTCTCCAAGTCACCCTGTAGGTACGGTCTTTCAGGTATGAGGTGAGGAGGGAAAGTGCAGAGCCTGAAACTCCAAGTTTTTGGAGAGTGCGAAGGAGGATCTGATGATTCACCGTGTCGAATGCAGCAGACAGGTCCAACAGGATGATGACAGAGGAGAGGGATGCAGTTTTGGCAGTGTGCAGTTCCTCCGTGACAGCAATGAGAGCAGTTTCTGTGGAGTGACCTGCCTTGAAACCAGACTGGTGCGGATCCAGAATGTTGTTCTGATTGAGATAACAGGAGAGTTGTTTAAAGACAGCGCGTTCAAGTGATTTAGACAGGAACGGGAGTAGAGAGACAGGCCTGTAGTTTATAACATCAGACGGGTTGAGAGTGGGTTTCTTTAGGAGAGGGTTTACTCTTGCCTCCTTGAGACTGTTTGGAAAGTGACCAGAAGTTAGAGAAGTGTTGATGAAATGGGTGAGAAACGGTAGAATATCAGGAGCGATAGTCTGAAGGAGGTTTGAAGGGATAGGGTCCAGAGGACAGGTGGTAGGGCGGGCAGAGGTAATGAGGGTAAGAACCTCACTTGGAGAGAGAGGGGAAAAGGAGGTTAGTGTGTTGGTGGAAGGAAGGTCTGGTGACCCAGCGGTGAGTAAAGGTGAGTCAGAAAAAGAAGAGCGAATATCATTAACCTTTTTTTCAAAGTGGGTAACAAAGTCGCTTGACAGAAGTGAGGAGGGGGGAGGAGCTTTTGGAGGGTCCAAGAGGGTGGAGAAGATGGAAAATAGTTTTTTAGGATTGGAATAGGAAGATTGGATCTTATCTTGAAAGAAAGTGCTTTTTGCCTGAGAGATCGAAGCCGAGAAAGAGGAGAGGAGAGCTTGATAGGTTAGGAGGTCGTCACGGTGTTTGGATTTCCACCATTTCCGCTCTGCTGCCCTAAGGACGGTTCTATTAGCACGCAGTGCATCATTTAGCCAGGGAGCCGGAGGGGACTGACGAGCCTGCCGAGATGTCAGAGGACAGAGCGAGTCCAGAGTGGATGAGAGAGTAGAGAGGAGAGTTTCTGCAGCAGAGTTTGGAGGCAGTAGTTGGAACGAATCAGAGGAAGGGAGGGCTGAGAGCACCGACGAGGCAAAGGTAGAGGGAGAGAGGGAGCGAAGGTTACGGCGGACAAGTGTAGGATGGGAAGAGATTAGTTTGTTATGTTTGGAAAGGGATAGAGAGAATGAAATGAAGAAGTGATCGGATGTGTGGAGCGGGTTTACAGAGAGGTTAGAAGTAGCGCAGTTCCTTGAGAATATGAGATCAAGGACATTGCCAGCTTTATGAGTCGGTGGGGACGGAGAGAGTGAGAAAGCAAAGGCGGTTAACAGAGATGTTAGTTCGTCTATCTTCCCCATCTGGAGGTTGAAGTCTCCGAGAAGTACAGCGGGAGGGCCAGTTTCAGGGATGTGTGAGAGGAGATGATCTAATTCCTCCAAGAAGTCCCCCAAGGCGCCTGGTGGACGGTAGAGAACAACAATGGTTAACTGTATAGGATGGGTTACTGTGACGGCATGGAACTCAAAGGTGGAAGGATTAAAGTTAGGTAGCTTGAAGAGGGAAAAGCTCCATTTGGGAGAGAGCAGGAGACCAGTGCCACCTCCTCTGCCAGTGGGTCTGGGTGTATGGGAGAAGGAATATGCAGTGGAGAGAGCTGCTGGGGTGGATGTGTTGGATGGAGTAATCCAGGTCTCAGTGAGAGCAAGGAAATCCAGAGACTGCAGGGAGGTGTAGCCAGAGATGAAGTCAGCCTTAGGAACAGCTGACTGGCAGTTCCACAGGCCACCTGAAACTAGATGTTGGATCTCAGTGGAGCACGTGGGATAGACGAGAGCAGGCCGGTTATATCGATTACGAGATACACGGGGCCAGTGATAATTGCGAGAAGACACATGAACAGGAATGGAGAAAATACACATGATTATAGCATGAGGGGCTAAACAACAAAATTAAAAATTAAAAACACCAACGATACTTAGCTCAATCTGAGTAGGATTTGCCTCCTCTTTGCCTCCCTCGTGACTCCTGTAGGACTCTAATGTCTTTGTCAGTCTTTGACTCCTGTAGGACTCTAATGTCTTTGTCAGTCTTAGCCTGTCTGCCGCTGAAGCTGACGCTCCAGGAAAGAGCTACCCGAAATGGACGCCTGATTGCTCAGTTCTCACAGCTGAAGTTAATTAGTTAACTATCTACAGCTGATGGGCGACAATAGACTGGCCCTGCCTATGTTAATAATGCAGGCTTGAGTGCTGAGAGCTGTAAAGCAGGTTTCGCCTGAGCAGATCTGAGATTTAAAATCTCTCAAAAGCGATTTAGCCGTTTAAGCTACAGTAACAATTATACAGAGTCGAATAAATGAAACCGAGAAGTCTAATTAAACAAGAATATAACTTACAGTGGTTGCTGCGTCAACAGGTAATGTTGTCACCGGGTCCAGATGCACACTGAGTTCATCAGTTTCTAAATGCGGTATTTAAAACCTTTTTGAGCTAAAGGATGACTGAGTCACGCGGTTCTACTTCACACAATCAATAGACTGGCCCTGCCTATGTTAATAATGCAGGCTTGAGTGCTGAGAGCTGTAAAGCAGGTTTCGCCTGAGCAGATCTGAGATTTAAAATCTCTCAAAAGCGATTTAGCCGTTTAAGCTACAGTAACAATTATACAGAGTCGAATAAATGAAACCGAGAAGTCTAATTAAACAAGAATATAACTTACAGTGGTTGCTGCGTCAACAGGTAATGTTGTCACCGGGTCCAGATGCACACTGAGTTCATCAGTTTCTAAATGCGGTATTTAAATGCTTTTTGAGCTAAAGGATGACTGAGTCACGCGGTTCTACTTCACACAATCAATAGACTGGCCCTGCCTATGTTAATAATGCAGGCTTGAGTGCTGAGAGCTGTAAAGCAGGTTTCGCCTGAGCAGATCTGAGATTTAAAATCTCTCAAAAGCGATTTAGCCGTTTAAGCTACAGTAACAATTATACAGAGTCGAATAAATGAAACCGAGAAGTCTAATTAAACAAGAATATAACTTACAGTGGTTGCTGCGTCAACAGGTAATGTTGTCACCGGGTCCAGATGCACACTGAGTTCATCAGTTTCTAAATGCGGTATTTATGTTAATTTCTATAATAATAATATAATAATATTTTGAGTAAACTTGTATGTATATTAACTACATGTTAAATGTATTTATTAGGGATTTCTAAGCAACTGGAGAAGGCTGCAAAAAAGAAGGACTGCGAAAAACTTCGAGGGTGGGTGAAGAGTATAAGAAACCACATATACTGGACTGCAGCAACCTCCACCACCGGGCCTGAGAGAGTGGCCAAATGGTTCCCTAAGTGCCTTCATCCACTGCGCATTGCGCAATACCAATGGATGGCTGCAGGTATGTTGTTCATAAACCATATTACATTACTCCTCTATAAATATTTGTAAGGGACAACTATTGAATACAGGATGTTGTCAGACACAATCTATAAAGCATGACAATTCAAATATGACTTTAATTTTCAAATTCTTAGGAACACCGGCCTTTCACAAGCTGGAGACAATTCTCTCAACCAAGAGGATTTTGAAAGCTGTGGCCAAACTCAGCCCACACCACCAGACTTCATCTTTGGAGTCATTCCATGCCGTTATCCTGCGCTTTGCTCCAAAGAATGTTGTGTTTCCATTTCTTGGAATGTTGTGCAGGTAAAATA